GGACTTTTGCTCTTGGTGATTGAAAACACACACAGACCCAAATAAATAAATAAAAAATCCCATTGGAGATTTTACAACTCTATTAATTCAGCCAACTTTTTCTCCACTCTTTCAATTAATAATGTGCCAATGCTGAGCAAAATATATGATTAAACACATCATTCATTAGTATCAAACAAGCAAATAATTGCGGTGTTGCAAATTAAAATTCTTCACTTTCAGTGTAAATTGGGTTCTTATCAATCATTTCAGTTTCTGTGATGATAAATTGCATCATGTTGTCAGAGCTGCAGTATGGATAGACAAGCATTTGTTTTTTTAAGGGCCGGACAACTTTTGAATAAAGTTTCAGTACTCCTGTTTGGATACCAACACCTGAAAAAAAGAAGCTTCCAGAGGTCCCATCCCATCTGCATTTGAGTTTTGAAAGCCTGTGGTCAAAGACAAATTAGGAGGGATTAGCCAAAACCCACATTAAGGCATGTTATGCATGTAATACATGTATATTAATAGCAAATGTTGTGGCTAGAGATTAATACTGACTTCAGCTTAAGTAACATGTGGCCTTTATCAACTGTATATGCATAGGTTTTAGAGGGGTAGCCATATTAGTCTGTATCAGCAAAAACAAGCAAAAATATTCAATCAGGGTGGCCCATTCTCAACAGTTGACAAGAATTATTTATTTATTTATTTATTTATTTATTAATAAATGGACACAAATCAGACATCAAGAATGTAACATTAAAAAAAACAGTAGGAGAGCACTTCAATCTCCCTGGACACTCAATAACAGACTTAAAAGTGGCCATTCCTCAACAAAAAATCTTCAAAAATAGACTTCAATGAGAAACAGCAGAACTGGAATTAATTTGCAAACTTGACACCATCAAATTAGGCCTGAATAAAGCCTGGGAGTGGCTGGGTCACTACAAAAAGTCATTTTCCCTCTGATATACACACACGTTCTTGTCAACTGTTAGGAATGGGCCACATCCACCCCTCACCGAATTGGCCTCGTTAGCACTGACCCCCCACTTGGTAAGGCAACTCCCATCTTTTCATGTGCTGTATATTTATACCTGCCTACTGTGTTTTTCACTCCATGCGTCTGATGAAGTGGGTTTTAGCCCACAAAAGCTTATGCCTAAATAAATTGGTTAGTCTCTAAGGTGCCACAAGGACTCCTCATTGTTTCTGTATATGCATAGTTACTACTGGACAGTCTAGTTGCCTATATTTTGTAAAATACATCTGCCATATCCCACAAAAATAATGATTTTGGTTGTTTATAGCATAGACATAAAAGGAGATACCAGTCTTTCACAAGCTCATTGTTTTATACTGTGAATAAATTCTCATAAAATCCCAGTATCTCATCATCTTTTCAGTTTAACCTGAAATTTCCCCCTTCAGCTCTGGTAAGATTTCAGGGCCTCGGATGTAACTGTTAAAACAAAAATATATTTCTTTCACTATGATGAGCATCCAGCTATGTCAGCAGTTGGCTGTGCTTTCATCCCAATATACTACTGAGATCCTTTGTTACTCCCCAAACTAGCCCCAAACCATAACATTCAAAATTGAAGCCCATCATTACTTCTACTATTATTACATATAATGTTGAATTCTGTGTCATGGAGTATGGAATAATCCATCAAAACATTCATGGACACTGTACAATCCTCTGACCCATTTTTTTGGGGTGTGAGTGATGCAGGAATTGTGGAGTACATTTCCTCCAACATAACAGATATGTGAAGAATCATGACTGTAGCCTTAGCCTGGTAAGATTTTACTCTTAAGCCCTGGCAACGTGTCACATTTCATACATGTTTTCATGCTTACTCCTGGGACTGGGTAGTATTTGACATTGCCTATAAAACACAGACAGCTAAAAGAACCAGTGTTTTATAGGCTCTTTACATAGTAGTGGTGCAGATTTGGAAATTTCACACCCAGACTTATGAACCCAAATTCAAAAAATTTTAAGTGAATACCCAGACACAAGCTCTGCATCCTTGATTTGTGCGGATGTGTGTCATATTTTCAATTTGTTATGTTTTCTTTTTTTAAACAAAGGTCATGTTTTTTTACTCATAACAAAGCATGATAAACTGCAACCTGCTTTTATCAGGAGTGCCGATTTATATCATTTAACTGGAAATCAACATATTCCTATTAACTAAATGATATAGCCATTAATAAAATACAAATTCCATGTTACTCTATCAACATTAATAGTAATTAGTTATTTTTACCCAAGAAGAATGACCTTCCTCTATTGAATAAGTATTATTTAAATCAAAAGGAAACTTTTATTCATACAGCTAATTTCAATAATTAACTTTCCTCTTCTGTTGCTGGATTAACCTGCAATTAAAATTTGCTGCGTGTTCTTGTATGTAATTCAGATACATTCATGCTGGGATTCACATGTTGATTTTTAGTTCTCCTTATAAAACTAGGTGATGGACAAGAAACATTTAAAGGGGAAATATCTTTCGTGGGTGTCTGAGATGGAAGGCTGAGCATGTGAGAATTGTAGCCAGGCTAACACAAATGGCTATGTGGAACTTGTAAGATATCTGTCCTTCACAATCACTTGAAACGTTTTTAGTGCAGTATATGGCTCTCTGAGCTTGTTTACTATTGCAGGGATACATACAGGTACTTCTGCATCTAGCCCCCAGATTGTCTTTAAGCACCCTTGTGATTCACAAAACTCTGGCTCAGCTCCTGCCTAACCCTAGAGGCACCTAAACTTGCTCAGCACCTAAGTTTTTCCAGTAAACGTTTTTGATGCACTAGTTTCAGCCTATGGACAAGCTGCCTTACTCTAGGCATCTGGATGCCTATCTCCCATCTAAACCTCAGAGCGATCCGCAAACGGGAGGAAGATAGGTGCTCCTCCTCCTAAGTTGGGAGGCTTGATGTGGTAGATGAGCTCAGAGGCTGCCTAACTCCACACAAAACGGACTACTACCAGTGGGCAAAACGTTAAAAAGGAGATCCTTTCCCATCCCCCAGCTCCGGTTGCTTTGTGTGGAGTTAGGCAGCCTCTGGGCACACCTACCAGATTGGGCTCCACACAAGGATTAGAGGAATACCTATCTTCCCCAGTTTGTGGATTGCTAGCAAAGATAGGTGCCTTCCTGTACCTCAGACTTACCTGACTATCTCCAGAAGAGTGGTGTGGCTTAGGACACACCCCTCTTGTCAGCATCTCCTATTGGCTAGCTTACAGCAGGAGCTACCTAACATGCTGGCCTTTTATGGATCACATTCTTAAGGCACCTGTCTCTCCCCATTCATTGTATAGGAGCCTAGGTGCCTAACTCAGACTTTGTGAACTGCAGTGTTCTTCCTGTAATTTTCTAGGTGCCTAAACGTTTGGCATTGCAATCCTCAGTATTTGGGAGCAGGAAAGAACGTGGAAAAGGGTGGAGAGTAGAGCTTGTCTGAAATTCGTTTTCCCCACGGAAAGTTTTGGCTGAAATATTTTGATGAAGAACTGACACTTTTCAAGGAAAGCAGACACTTTCAATTAAAAAATTTGTTTCATTGAAACCCCAATTTTCTGCCAAAAAACAATTACATGAAAATTTTTGACCAGACTTATTGGTAGTATTAAAAACATAATAAATGTTTTTCTTTCTCTGTCACTCTGACCGTCTATCCTCATTTACCTACCACAATAGCAAAATGGCAAAGATAATCATTATATTGATTCTGCTTGAAAATTTGTCAGGCACAAGTTGTAAGTGTTCTTCCGTACTTTATATGTTTGGAAGCTAAAATTAACTATTTCCTATCATTTCAATTAAGAGAGAAGATTTCAGGGATCTGAAAATTATTTGATATGACCAACATTTGCAAGCAAAGCTTTGAAGAAAATATTTCACTATTTTCCACACTGAAAGCTCGGCATGAAACAGATAACATTCTATTGAAGTCAATGGGAGCTTTTCTTAAGTAAGGACTGCAAGATTGTTGTTATATTTATAATGCAGAAGCATCTAGAGGCCCCAGCCCCATTGTGCTAAACCCTATATAGACATATAACAAAGAAACAGCTCCTGCCCCAAAAAGCTTACAGTCTCATAAGACTATAGACAACAGATGGATATATGAACAGATGGGAGAAAAGAAGGTAGCAATGAAATTATTATAATTAGAATGATAAGCAGTGGTGCATATCAGCACACTGGCAGCCTAACCATTATCTATGTGTATGTGCGCATGTAAAATTAGCATAAATAACATTTTTTATTATATTTACTAATTTAGAATATCTGATCTTGTCAATTTAGAACAATGAGAAGCCCAACTTAATGTAGTGACTTCAGTGACCTTCTGTTTAGGTTTTTTGGGAGGGCTGAAAGTACATTCCTGGGCACTGAAGAGATGGAAAGGAATTCTTTTAGATGACTGGCTGACTCAGCTTCTGCAGAATTGATCATTTCCCCGTGTCTGAGGCTTAAATTGTATTGTGTGTTAGGGAAGTTAGAGCTTTTAAAAAATAAAAATAAATACATAAAGATTTAAATTGGTATCTAGAATATGAGACATACAATGAGGCACATTTGAGGCCAAATTCTGTTCTGTTACACAAGGGTATCAATAGAACAATTCTACTGAAGTCAACAGTGTTACCTTGGCAGACAGCAGAATATCTCTGGACAGAATTTGACCCATATTCTCTCTCATTAGCATTTCAAACATTGATTTCTACAAATATTCAGAAGGTGAACAGAGGTGCTAAATAATATATGCCTCATTCACTTTGGACATGTGCCTATGCACCAACAATGTACCTAAAATATAAAACCAATAATATAACCAATAACTCTACATACTTGTTTACTTTGCCCTTGTTACATATAAATACCAGAAGCAATGACTTGCAGCCACCTTTAATCTCATGACAGCTTTACTATCATTGGTTGGCTGAGCTTCAAGTAGAGTTATGACAGTGGCAAAGTTCTGCAAACTGCAGCACATATTTCTGCAATTAAGTAACTGATGGGAAACTACTTAGAAAAAGAACTAGTGAAATCATTTGCAAAACACCTCAGATGCAGAAGTAGAACATGTTCTTCCCAGTGCAGTATTTGAGGTATGATTTAAAGAGTATTCCTTTTATTGTTTTGCCAATTTCCCCCCACCCCCACTCTTCATGATAAGCAATAGTTCTGGCTTGAAACAGATCTTCTTATGATGAAGACATTGTATTTGCAATTTCAAGGGATGGGGGAGTGGGCAACTTGGGGGAGTTGTATTTTTAATTTTTAACCCATTTTAATTCTGGTTGCTTAGACAAGTGCCTATCTCTTGTGGAAGCTTTTGGGCTAAGAGTATTAATGCTGTACTAATTCATTCATTTTCTGATACCAAGACAAGGTTTTCATTTAAAAAAAAGACTAAAAGGAATTTTATTTCTAATCCAACACAAACAAATTAACAGTTAACTTTTCAATAAGGTTATGAATATTCTGCTGTTAATAGAATTCTAGTACTAAGACAGTATCATCCTCAAGATTCTTTATCTCAAATTATCATATCTTTCAAAGTGCCTCTCATTAGTTCTGAAGATTTAGGGATTGCTGCATTTATTAAAGCTACCCTTATAACTAAGAAAAATAATCACTTCATCCCAAAGAACGATGTTTAAAAGAAATTTAATTTTAATAAGAAGTCTCTATGACCTAATGTGATGGGAACATGCGAAATTCAATCCTGATTGAAGAAACAAGCATGTAAAAGGACTTGAATGTAAATGGCACAATCTTTCCTCTTTACAAAGGCAGATTAGAGTATCTAGATTTCTTGCCGGCAATATTTGGCCACACTCTGCAAGGGAGTGGAGATCCTCATTTCTGCGACTTCTTCACAGACCCTTCTTAGCAGCCACTTGAGGGAGAGTATTTTGGAAGTGGTGTGACAGGGTGTACCAACAGCATACTGGTGAGGCAAGGGGTAAAGAGCAGCTCTGGGCCCAAGATACCATGCCCCCTTGCCTCTGCTGGGCATACTCCCAGTGGAAGAAGCATTTACAAAGGAAGCAACTCAATTCAGTCTGGGCTGACTGAGGAGGAGAGCCTGCCGGGAAGCCGCCAGAGCGCCACAAAGCCAGGACCGAGCCTTATAGCCACGCTACTAGAAGTCCATAGACTGCAGGAGCCAAAGGTCATGACTCACTCAGAGGGGAACAGAGGGATTCCAAGCTCAACCCATGATAGTGTCAAAGGGACTGGAACAAAGATAGGAAATGATCCAGGGAGCATGCTAAGGGGTATCCCACCCTGAGCCCTGTGCAAGGGCTACTGATTTGAAGGGCCCTGCTTCAGAACCCAGTGGAGTAGGGTGGACATGGGTTCCCCCTGGCCAGTAGGCAACACTACCCAAAACGATAGCCGCTAGGCAAAGCAGCTTTTGGACTCATGCCAGTGGGTGACCCTGAACTAGCCAACCCTGGCAAGTGAACAAAATATACTGCCAGTCTATTTGACCATTGTGATGCATAGCTTAATTTGGGTCAAAAGTCAGATCCACAATCTTCTGTAGTCTTCCATGGCATAGTAACCTTCTGTATAGTCATAGGTAAAGGAACAAAGTGTTACCCAAAGCACCCAGGTATTCACATCCTACATGGTATTGTGATAATCTACAAAATATGCCTTGTGAGGTATCATTTAAAAATGAATAACTCACTGGTCAACAATATCATGGTGAAATGTATGTAGCAACATTATATGTAAAGTTATGAAATACCCCTGTATGACATTACTAGACAGCCTTGCCTAGATAAAGGTATTAAATAGGTCCTAAACAAAGGAATGTGGGTTTTCCTGAATACATCTAAACAGTAAACAGAACCATCAAGACAGCTGGGGAAATGGAACAATTTGCATTTTAGCAAACGCTAGCAGGGGGAGGGGAGAATATGGAGGGTCAGCTACCACCTTGCTGGAAGACTGAAGGTGAGAAAAGCCGTGTTGAACAAAGCCTGTACCTGGCTCGAGTAAGTTTTAGACTTTTAGATGTGTATTTTCACTTTTATGTTTGTAACCCTTTCTAACTTCATCTCTTATACTTGATCTCACTTAAAATCCTATATTCTTTTGTTAATAAACTTGTTTTACTTTGAATTTAAATTAACAGTGCTCAGTTTGAATTAAAGTGTTACTTAACTCCAATTAAAGTAGCATGCTGTTCATTTTGTGTCTTTAGAGGAGCAAACGGACCTTATCATTTCTCTGGGTGGTCCAGGAAAGGGTTGAACATTGCAGAGCACAAGGTTGGGGGAAATTTAGGCCTGGGAGTGTGTTGGGGTCCCTTTCTGGCAGTAACTAAGGCTTGTGGAAGCCAGATTGGGGCTGTAGACAGGCTGCTGAGGTGAGAGTTGCTAAACAAGGGTTGGCTGCATAGCACACAGACATTCAGGGCGTGACCGGCATGTTTGCTGCTGACTGTGAACATCCTAGGCAGAGAGCTACAGTAGCAAAGCATTGTGAGGCACTCAGAGTTACAGGGTAAGAGGTGAAACAAATCCTCACTGGTCTGGATTGCACCCCAAAGTGTGACACAAGGGTCTCTAGTAAATGATGCATTAAGATTTTCACATTACTCATACCATAGGAGAAAGAATTGGCCGTTAGCAATATTAAAGTGAAAAAGGTGTTAACTGGACCATTTTCATAATACTTTGGCTGCTCTTTCACTGAAATGAAGATTTATTCTTTTTGAGGTGCAACAGACAAGCTTTCCAGGCTGATTTCTCAAATTTCTTAGGCCTGCACTAATTGCTTGTTGATTTTTTAAAAGGTCATCATTTATTTATGAATTAAAATGTACCCTTGTTCCTTGTTTTATTGCTTTGAAAATTTGCTCACCTAATTGTCTAGGCACTCTGCTCATTAATGACAGGTTATAATAATACTGAGCTTTTAGCATCAGTAGATTTCAAGGTGCTTTACAAAGGAGGGCAGTATTATCAACATATTACAGCTTGGGAAACTGAGGCACAAAGCAGGGAAATGACTTGTCCAAGATCACTGAGGAGGTCAGTGTCAGAGCCAGGAATAGAGCCCACATCTCCTGTGTCCCCAATATAGTACTTTATCCTCTAAACCATACTGCCTCAGGATGGTTGTACCCAATCCAAATCAGAAGTCTGAGATGCCATCAGAATTCTCACAAAATAGGGTGGCCTTGGCCAATATTGCCTCAGTGATTAATACCACAGCTAAAGCATGGCAAAGAATGTGAACAGAAGAAAGTAAATAATAGTAGGGAGAAAATATAGACCCGGATCAAAGAGGCTGGCCTGAAATGCTTCACTGTATATGTTTTTCCAGTGATGATGTATGCCAGGGATCGGCAACCTTTGGCACACGACCCATCAGGGAAATCCACTGGCGGGCCGGGATGGTTTATGTACCTGCCGCGTCTGCAAGTTCAGCCAATCGTGCCTCCCACTGGCCACAGTTTGCTCTTCCAGGCCAATGGGGGCTGCAGGAAGCGGTGTGGGCCAAGGGATGTGCTGGCTACCGCTTCCCGCAGCCCCCATTGGTCTGGAACGGCGAACCACAGCCAGTGGGAGCTGTGATTGACCAAACCTGCGGACGCTGCAGGTAAACAAACTGTCCTGGCCCACCAGCGGATCTCTCTGATGGGCTGCGTGCCAAAGGTTGCCGATCCCTGATATATGCAATAGATAACAGTAGAGTGCCACCATTTCACTTCCATCATTCCTTCCACCAATTTATTAATATTGCTCAGCCAGATTGTTGCCCATCTAGATACAAGAAAGTAAGAAAAAGTAAGGCACTGTGTCATACCTCCGGTTCAGAGTGCAGGGACTATGAGTCTCTGCAGAGCAGCTATGTCCCCACTGGTGCGGATGGCTGGAGTGGGCAGGAAGAGAGCACATTCTTGACACCACCTCCCTCAGGGTCAGGGCCGGCTCCACCGTTTTTGCCACCCCAAGCTGCGGGGGAAAAAAAAAAAAGCGCGATCGGCGGCACTTCGGCAGTAGCTCTACCACCGCCTCTTCATTCTTCAACGGCAATTCAGCAGCAAGTCCTTCCTTCCAAGAGGGACTGAGGGACCTGCCACCGAACTGCTGCCGAAGAGCTGGACATGCTGCCCCTTGCTTGCTGCGCTGGTGCCTGGAGCTGGCCCTGCTCAGGGTTCCTGGAAGTGTAGCCATGCCAGCATATTGGGGAGTGTACACTGCAACAGATATAGGACCCATTGCAGTATACTCACCCCTAAGCAGCAGTGAGATTGGGAAGAAAACTGTGGCTGGGGATTCATAATCTGCCTCCTGTGCAGCACAACAATAGATTGTACTTAACACTGGGTAGATCTTAATGTCACAATCTAGCCTTTGGAAAGTATGCAAAAGAATGGTATGCATATACAGCCAATGCTCCCTTCCTTTACTGCTTGCAGTATGCTTTTTGCTATTCTTTGATGCTGGTTGCTGCTTTTTCAAGTTGCTGCATAGAGATTTAGCCTCTTGGCTCCTATTGGCTTTAATGGAAGTCAAACAGTGAAGTGCCTGCATGCTGCTTTGTTTCCTAACAGTGCTATGGACTTTCCAACATAAGCAGAACACAATGAATAATTCAGGTACATACTTGTCAGGAAATTCATATGACGAATTTCACATTTTAAAATGAAAACATTTTAATTTAATATTTTATTATTCACCAAACTCTAATAGCAAAAGTAGTCAAATCAAATTTAAGTTCCTATTTCACTTTTTGAAACATCCCAACTAGCTCTATCATTGAATAAAACGCATAGGGAAAATGTTGTTTTAAAAATCTTATCAAAATGTTTCCAAAATTTGTCTGTGTTGGGTTTTTTTAAGTGTGTGTGTGTGTGTGTGTGTGTGTGTGTGTGTGTTGTGTGTGTGTGTGTGTGTGTG